AGTTATCAGATATACAGAGTGCCAGAGGAGAGTTGGAATCACAGGGACAATGATAGGCTGTGTATCATCACGATGGCAACCCCAGGCTACACTATTCATTGAATGGCAGGCATTTTCATTAGGGCTATTTTTCTCATTTTTATTTGTTGTATTATTTTTTAATGCCTTCATGACACGGTTACTTTTGTTCTCTGTCCCACTTACAGAGTGTAAAACTGGCCCACGAAGAGGGTATATGCCTTGCTCAAAAGTTCACTGTTTGCGTATGATAGAATCAAGACTGGCAGGAAGGCGGGCTGCTTGGGCTTTGCTTTGAGTACCCATCCACCCAGGTCCTCGGAAAGGACCTCATGGTCTCATTATTAAAGTGGTCATCTAGTGATCTTTCTGTCTGCAAGAAAAGTTAAACCCTTTCTAAACAAATTCAAATTTGAAGAGTCTGGTGTATTTCTCATCTCTCAATGGCTGGTGAAATGAGAAAGAATAAGGAAATGAGGAGGCGCCTAAGGCTTCATTTTCCCTGCTCTCTCATTATTTCCTTTATTGACACTTCCTTCCTCTCTCATCTTCCCTGCTTACTTAGCGTTCTCTAGGGTTTCAAAACATTTTTTGTGCAACGCTGGAAAGTCCTTCTGTGTGTGGGCACACTGTAAAGAGACGCTCAGGTGTGCGCATTTGCAGGAGAACTTGTGTTTTCTTGTGAGAGATACTCCCCGAGTGAGAATGAAATCAGGGCTTTCTATGGGATGACGTTGCCTGTTCTTTTGATTGATAGGTGTGGCAGGACTTTATGTTTGCCTGTGCCCTTTATCCAGTTGAGCAGAACTTCCTGAAGTCAGTGAGAGCCGAAGTTACTTACCAGGTATGTTATTATTACACCTCCAGGAAGAGAAAAATACATGCATCTTATTTTTCTTTTTGTTAAATCACTCCTTCCTTCCTTCCTTCCTTCCTTCCTTCCTTTCTTTCTTTCTTTTTTTTTTTTTTTGTTGTTTGTTTTTCGAGACAGGGTTTCTCTGTGGCTGTCCTGGAACTAGCTCTGTAGACCAGGCTGGTCTCGAACTCACAGAGATCCACCTGCCTCTTATCTCCTGAGTGCTGGGATTAAAGGCATCCGCCACCACTCCCCCACTCCCCTTCACCCCTTAAATCACTCATTTCTTTTTGTTGTTTTCTACTAAGTCCTATGGAAAACTGTAGTCTGGTAATTGATTTCCCGAGTGTTCACCAGTGTCATGGATGTAACCATGTGTCACCTACTGGCTGACAACTCCCAGGTTCATGACAAATCCTCCAGGCTCTGATGAATCCCTTGGTCTAGCATGCACTGCCATTGAGGTGGTGTGATCAGAGGTTTAATGGGCAGCTCAGTGTGACATGTCCAAACCACCCATCCATCACTTCCCGGATCCTGCTGCTCCTGTGGTTTTCCTCAGCAAATAAATACCTACCCCCCCACAGACCCCCTATTCCATCCCCTTTCTGCTCCCCAGGGAGGGTGAGGCCTTCCATGGGGAATCTTCAAAGTCTGTCATGTCATTTGGAGCAGGGCCTAGGCCCTTCCCCATGTGTCTAGGCCGAGAGACTATCCCTCTATGTGGAGTGGACTCCCAAAGTCCATTAGTATGCTAGGGATAAATATTGATCTACTACCAGAGGCTCCATATATTGCCCAGGCCTCCTAACTGACATCTTGTCTTGTGTTTCTTAAGAGAAAGAAAGAACAAAGTTGGGTGTGTGCTGGGGAAGGGTTTATGGGAGAGTAAAGACTATGATCAAAATATATTGCTTGAAAATCTGAAAAAAAAAATAGCTGATAGCTGGGATAGGTTTCCCAGCTATCAGTCTGGGGTCCATGAGCTCTTTAACTAGCTCTTATAACTTAAATTAACCCATTTCTATTCATCTACGTGCTGCCACATGGTTCATGGCTTTTACCTCTCCTCCTGTGTGCCCTGCTTCCTCTTTGTATGGCTAGTGACTCCCCCTTTTCTCTTCCCAGAACTCTCTCTGTCCAAAAGTCCCACGTATACCTCCTGCCCAGCTATTGGCTGTTTAGCTTTTTATTAAACCAACCGTAGTGACTTATCTTTACACAGTGTAATCAAATATCTCGCAACACTCAGCTCTTCATGTTTAAATAGAAAGTATTTAAATGACTGAGCTCCCCCACCCCTGTCTTTCAGAGAACTATTAAAATTGCCTTTCCGTAGCACACGAGTACCCATTTTGTGAATTATCAGGTAGGCAAGAATTTCTATGTGGAAATGCAATGATTGTAACTTTATTAATCATTATAGATTTGAGTTCTTCTATGTTAGGTATGGGGAAGTTATTTCATGTTTTCTTACATTTCAGATCAGGAGACTCAAATCTCACCCCTGCATCATTATTTGGAGTGGCAATAATGAGAACGAAGTGGCACTGAGGATGAACTGGTTTCAGACATCCTTTGACTTGGAAACCTACTTTAAGGACTACGTAAACCTCTATGTGAGAAACATCAGAGAGATTGTCTTACAAGTAAGCAATGGTTTTAGTGCAGAAGAATTTAAGAGGGTGTTTTTGAAATGCATAGGTCTCAGTATTGGCGGAGTAGATTGTATGGCTCTTTTAAGGCAGTCTTCGGAGCATCACCTGAAGTCAGAGCATTCCAGTATAATACTTTAGCATAGGAACCTACACGTGGGTATTCATAATCTGTCTTTGGGATTCTCCATACATACTCAGTACTTACTAGTACAGGTTATCACACACTCTAGGATTCATGTATGGATCCTCAACTGTTTCCTGAGTCTCCAGGACAGATACTTTCATGGAATGCTACCTCTCCAGGTCTGTAGCTGCAGATGTACTTGTATGTGCAGATGCAAATTTTGGTGTGTATCATGTATGCACATCTTGGCCCGTGGTGTGAGGGTCCTGGGAATAAGGAAGTTGTGGTTGCTGAGGGATCATCCTCTATGGTGGCTCTTTTTGCATCACTATTTATTGTGAACTAGTTAATAATACAGTGGCCTCTTTTTTTGTGGTGAAAGGAAGGTAGTTATTTTGTTTTTCAGTAACCATTTCTAAAGATTGTTTTAAAAACTCTAATATTTACTAAGTAAATTAATAATTTGGCCATCTTTACAATTTTGTCTGTAATCATATATTGGGTATCTTCTGAAGCAACTTGAAAAAGGAATGTATTTTTAAAAACAGTATGTGATAGGTAACATCTACATGTCTAGTCAATGATGATTTTGTGTGTATATTTAAAAGATTTATCTTTATTTTATGCATGTTTGCTTGCATGTATATATGTGTGCCACATACATGGCCAGTGCCTGTGGAAGGCATTGCATCCCCTGGAACTAGAGTTACAGGTGGTTGTGAGCCACCCTGTGGGCATTAGAGAAAAGGCTCATCAATTAAGAATGCTTTTTTCATATCTGATCAATGCAAGAGATTGATTTTAATGTCTGGGGATTTTTTGTTTAACAGTATAATGATGAAGTGCCCACGGTTCACAATTCTGTCTATGTAACCTTTGTCAATTTGCTTAATGTCTACTCTTTCACTTATAGAATTGAGTTAGAAAGTGGACTAACTCTTAGGATTATTTGTCTCAAACTTCACAGATGACTTCATTCTAGGTCATGATGATGTTTACAGATTTCCTTAAATGCTATGCAATAATTACTTCAAGGTATAAATGTTATGATTAGTTCCCAGTGGTTCATCTTGTTCTAAATGAGCATCCTAAGATCATGATCTTGAATTTCCTTCATTTTACAGATAAAACTCCCAAGGTTAAGACCTGCCCCAAACCAGGAAGATTCTGAGTTGAGTTTTAAATGCAAGTGTATCTGGCTCAATAGTTTTTGTTTTTAACCCAGAGTTCCTGAAATGCAGCAATGTTGTCCCTAGAGCAAATTTGTCACAGCTGAAGACACTTAGTGAAAGTGTTGTAATTTAAGAAAAGCAGCTCAAGAGAGAAAGATGCCATTTGACAGGTTCAGGCAGACAGTTTTTTTTTATTATTATTCTCCTCCAGGGACAGGAACAGCAGGAGAGAGGAAAGTGGGAAAGAGAGAGGGAGAGAGAGTGAAAGAGAGGAACAGACAGGGGGATGGAGAGAGAGAGAGAGAGAGAGAGAGAGAGAGAGAGAGAGAGAGAGAGAGATATGGGGGGTGGGAGG